CCCTAGTCACCATATCACAATGTATACCTGAAAATGGCCGTGACAGGAGATGTTAAGTCTTCTCACCACAAAAAAATGGATAAATGTGTCAGGTAACAGATGCACTAATCAGCTTAATTTAGCCATTCCACATACTTATATCAAAATGTCACGAATATGAACAATTTTTATTTCTCAATGAACAAATAAAACAAAAGGAACTAAAGATGAAGACGGAAAGTACATGAGGTAGTTCAATCAATCTCAATCACCTGAGCTGATGACTATTCCATATGGACTTTAAAATATGCAGAAAACTTTAAAACATGAAATAACATATAAATCCAAAGAGGGAAAATAGAATTAAAAATGTTTTTGGTTACTTGCGGTTGTTCAGGAAAAAGGTAAAAGTAGCCAAGAACATGAGATCTTGGTGAGTCTAGGAGACACATTGTCATCCACTAACAGCTGGAGGAAGAGGGTGTAACTATAACACTGAGCAATGGAGGAAAAGAATTTCTTAAAGCCTTAGCCCAAAAGAAGTCAAGCAAGAAGAGGAGGTTCACAGAGCAGTTAAAACAAGCAGCAACACTGAGTAGTAGATTTAAGCTGAATCATCAGAAATTACATTAAGTGTAAATGGGCTAATAAGTCCAACTAAAGTACAGGGATTTCCATGCTGAATAAAAGAAGAAAACCCAGGTTTTTAAAAAAATGTATGTGTGTTTGTTTGTTTAGACAAGAGTCTCACTATGTGGTCCAGGCTGGCCTTGAACTCCTGGGCTCAGGTAATCCTCCTGCCTCAGCTTCTAAGTAGCTGGGACCACGTGTGCACATTATGTGTCTAGCAGGTTATATGCTTTTTATAAGTAATATATCTAAACTATAAGCATGCAGGAAAGTTAAAAGTTATAAAGAATACATGGTGCAATCCCTAACCCAAAGAAAGCTGGCCACTGCTATAACAATACTAGTAGATAGCTTGCATATTACTGTATGGTACGTCTTTAAAATGAACATTTCCATAAAGGTAAAGAAGTTCATGTCTTATTAAAAAGTAGTTGAATTTAACAGTAGCACACATTCAGACACACAGGTGTGTATAATCTGTAATATATATGCTTATTATACTCATTTGTTTGTAACTAGTCTAAATTCATAGTTTCTCTGCTCAGAGTGGTTAGGCTACCCTACAGGATGACAGTAAGATTCTTGGGGCTGAGGTTAAAAGGCAGATGTCACCTGGGAAGAGCAGCACGTGACTTGAGGTTGCTAAGGATAGACAGTATAGAGAAGACCACATAGGAAGAGGGGAGAGAGTACATGATAGATCCAGCCCCTTGCAATGCACTGGCCCCAATGGCCAGTGGGTCTGTTCTGCAGGTGACAGATGATGGTGTTCACTAGCTGCATGCTGCAGTGGAAGGCCTCCCCTCACCCCAGAGAGCTGCCAGAGAGCTGGGGATGTGCCTGAGGGCCTCAATCCAGGTCCTCGAGCAGAACAGAGCATGCACAAGACTGGGCACAAGACTGGACTGGGAAGCATGTTCCCTCACAGGACAAAAAGTCCAGCTTAAGCTGTGTGGGCTCCTTTTTATAAGTAATGTTCTAGGCCCAAGGCCCACCCTTGTATAGCTGAGCAGGAGTGGACAGACTTCAGGACTGCCTTTCTAGACAGACATAGACAAAATCTGATAGAATTACAAGAAGTTTACAAATCTATAATACTGGGTTTTCATACATTTCTTGTAGTAAATGATGAAATAGGTAGACAAAATTAGATATCTTCTATAAGTAAGGACACAGGAGACATGAGGAACACAGTGAGCAGACTAGCCCACAATACTGCACTGAGCCTTGACCTGTCCTGGCATCCTCAGGAGTTGCTGTCCTCCTTCCTTCAGGGGCTCTAGGACCACAGACTTACTCAGGATGGGAGTGGATGAGGGGCTGTGATGTCAAGCCAGGCATTGACTTGCTAGGAAGTTAGTGGGTGGTTTTCTTAGTTCAGTTCCTGGTCGACACCTTCTCCATAAACATGGTCACAGAGAACACGCACGGTCACCATCACACCCCAGATATGACTCCATAGGTAAAGGAAAGGAAAAGCTCTGGAGTAAGAACAGCAGCTGTGCAAGTGGAGGTGGTCCCCCTGTGGCAGGCTGCAAGAGCCTGCTGATACTTTTGGCCATTGTCTCCTTTTCCCTTTGTAGTCAAGGTCAATTAACTGGTGTCTCCTTGACCCCCTCCACAGCTTACCCAAACCCCCACACCTGATAATTTAGGGCAGGGTCTCTCAGTTCCTCACCGACCACACTACTAACACTTGGGGTGGAACACTGGTTGGGGTTGTCTTGTGCATTGCAGGATGATCAGCTGTACCCTGGACTCCAGATGCCTGTGTGACCCAGTCCCACTTCCCAACGACCAGAGAGGTCTCTAGATGTTGCCGGATGTCCCAAGAGGAAATGACCTTTTGTTGAGAACCACTGGCTTAGCTGTCTAACCATGAGAAGTAAACATTAAAATATTTGTGTAGAATATGTAAAACCACCTCACCCTTGTGTTTATGGCCCCATAATTATCCTTCACGTGGCTACATCATAACTTATACCTTAATCCTGCTTATTCTAACACATTGTTTCCAATTTGTGCTAGTCTGTTATGTTGAATTTGTACCTAAAAGGGAGGTAATATAGCTGAGTAGTAGAGTAGCACACAATAAGGGAGAAACTTAAACATAATCTCTTGAGGGCCTCATTTATTCTTTCTTGGTTATGATTCCCCCCCACCCCGCAATATCCAAAGCCAATCCTGACATGTGGTATTTATTCCTCCTATAAAGGCAACTGGAGTGAGGACTTATAAACTGGATAACAACAGGTGTGATTACAAGGCTTAGCACTTTATTCAGAATCAAATATGGGAGGTCAGAACGCAACAGAAGGGAGGAGCAGTATTCCAGAGATGAGGTCTTGGGAAACTCCCTAACTTGCTTTCCCTGATGGAAAACAAGCTGGCTAAGTGCCAACTCTGTGTCTGAACCTGAAGCAATGAAACAAGAAAACAGGAGGGATTGGCTTGCAGGTTGCCAGAGGTTGCAAGATGTTTCCTGACAAAAGGTGTAGCTACATTTGGGACACTTGGCAAACCTGCCATATGCAAATAAGTGCTGGGAAAAAGCCCTGGGGATTCACCTCCACCAAGTGCTTTGAGAAGTCCTTATAGGTTATGAAACTAGTGCTCTAATCATGAAATCTATGGGAAGCAGTTCAGGTGACAAAGCTGTGGCAAAACAGCCCAGGGCAGTGGTGACTGCAGAAAGGAAGGAAACAGAAGAGATCTAGGTTTTGCAAAGTTGAGGTCCTGGGAGCTGCTATTAGGAGATAGGAAAAATACCCTTTTCCCATAGAGACCGACATGGGTTCAATTATATTGTTATATCGTGTGCATGTATGAATGTGTAACAAACCCCACCCTTATGTACAACTTTAATGAACCAATAAAAGATATGGAGAAAAATCCTTATCCTAGACTGTTTTTTTTTTGTTGTTGTTTTTTTTTTAAAGCACTGACTTTATAAATGTTCTAACTACTGGATTCCTTGAGGCTAGAGGAAGTCACATTAAAACTACTACATTTAGGGGCTGGGGTTGTGGCACAGTGGTAGACTGCACTGGGTTCAATCCTTAGCAACACATAAAAATGAAATAAAGATATTGTGCCCACCTACAACTAAAAAAATGTTTAGAAAAACTACTACATTTATATCAGTCTTTTTAAATTTTCCATAGCCTTGTCACCTCTAATCAAAGGGTAGTGGTTGGCTGGGGTTGTGGCTCAGTGGAAGAGAACTTGCCTAGCACATGTGAGGCGCTGGGTTCAATCCTCAGCACCACATAAAAAAAATAAATTAATAAAAATAAAAGGTATCGTGTCTGACTACAACCATATATATATATATATATATATATATATATATATATATATATATATACATACATACATACACACACATACATATATATAAAAGTAGTGGAATACTGGTGGGTGTCAACCAGGGTCGGAAGTCACACACTCGGGAGAAACATATGCCTAATATCCACATGCAGGGCCCCAGGGCCTCCTTTATCTGCAAGGAATCTGGCTAGTCAAGCTCGAACTCAGCGCTGCAAAGGTGTGCCGAGCTTCCGTGGGTTACTCTCCTAAGAAAGGAACACTCCCAGGGCTCTCCTTTTTCTGGGGGGCGGGGGCGGGAGGGCGTGTACCAGGGATTGAACTCAGGGGCACTGACCACTAGGCCCCATCCTCAGCCCTATTTTGTATTTTATTTAGAGACAGGGTCTCACTGAGTTGCTTAGGGCCTTGCAGTTGCTGAGGCTGGCTTTTAACTCAGCCTCAAGCCTCAGCCTCAGCCTCCTAAGCCGCTGGGACCTCAGGCCTGCGCCTCCGCGCCTGGTTTCGGGCACTCCTGATAGGCCTCGTCACTAACACGTGCAGCAAACCCGTCATCTGATGCGCCTTCGCTTCTAGCTCAACAGGAAGGCTGCATGCAGTACGTGCCTGCAAGTGGCCGGCGGGCCGAGCGTGGCTCGTGGGTCGTCGCGAGGGTGCAGCCAGCGGGCTGCGGGCCCTTCGCAGGACCCCAGCCGGCGGTGCTGCCGCCAGCCCTCGAGGGGGCGCCGTGCGGTGGTCTGAGGCTCACGCCCGGAGCCGCGACCAGAACGCCCTAGGCCTCAAGTCCTCGCAGAAGCTCGTCTCCCGAGGGCGGCCGAGCGCGGGCCCAGGTACTTTGCCGGCGCCCGTCGGACTTCCAGGCTACTGTTGCGTCCGAACGCCCAGGTTGCGCGCACTGCGCGGAGGGCAGCAGCTCCGGGCGGTGGAGGTGCTCCGGCGGCGGGGCCGGAAATGTGAGCGGCCGGGAGAGAGCCGGCGAGGACTCGGCACGTGCGCCGGAAGTGTGCTCGGCCCAGGGAGCGCCGGCGACAGAGCCGGAAGTGTGCGCGGCCGGGAAGCGCCGCGAGCGCGCTTCCGGTGTGCGTGGCCATCACGCGTCGCGCGGTTGCCCCGCAGGCCCTTGTCCTGTCTTGTCGACCGCTGCGCCGGCGCTGTGCTGCGTTCCGCGGCCTGCAGTCTCTGCGCGTCCCGGCGAAGGCGGCCCGACATGAGCGGCAAAGAAGGTGGCGTTCGCGGAGGGCTCGGGCGCGGGCGCGGTGACCGTCGGGTCTCGGGCTGCGCCGCCGTCCGATCGCAGCGGCCGCGCCTGCCGCCGGGAGTCCCGGGGAGCCCGGGCGCGGGAGGCCGGGGCGGGAGGGCGCGGCGGCGCGAGTCCACCCAGCGCCCCTCTCTTCCGCACAGGCCCGGGCGGCTTCAGGAAGAGGAAGCACGACAACTTTCCGCACGGCCAACGCAGAGAGGGCAAGGATGTGAGCGCGTCGTCGCCAGTGATGCTGGCCTTCAAGTGTAAGTGCCCCGGGCTGGCGGGCGGGGGCCGGCCGCGGCGCGTCCGTGTGCACCTGCTTTCCCGGGCTGCCGCGGTGGGCACGCGGGTGGCTCTGCCGGGAAAGCCTGAAGTCCAGAGGCGTGACTCCAGGGCCCGCAGCCCCACGCTGGCAGTGGGTACTGAGCACGGCACGGGCCTGGACGTTGCCCTGGGCCTGGGTCGTGGTGCCTCGGCTGGTTGCCTAGCATGTTCGTGTTCAGTGTGTGTTCGTTTTGTTAACCAGTCTTTTGAAGGCAGACTGTTGTGACCTGGCACGGGATGGGAACGTTGTTAGTGAATTACATACGCGTATAGATCCACGGTCGCCTTGTTCTCAGCCTACTAAACTGATCAGGTTTCTCCCCATTTTGAAACCACAAGACAGAATCCTTCCTCTGCCCCCTCTGTCTGCTGACCTGTACTGCATAGTTTCTGTGGTTCAGTAACAAGGAAAGTATTCACCTGGCCGGTTCTGACTGGCAGTCATTGAAAGCTAGATTGGGGCTTGAGGGATTGAGCTGTTCACAGTCTAAGCCTTCTGACTACAAGCAGCTCTCTGTTCCTGGCCATAGAGCTGCGGGAGTGTCCTCATGAATGGCACCTACTTTCCCTAGAGAGAATAAGGAGGAAACCACAGGCCCTTAACCTGCAAACCTCAGACATCACACACTATCACTTTTACCACATTGTATTTGCTAGAAGCAAGGCAATTTTAAAACCACCTCATGTTTAAGGGGAAAGGAATTAGGTTTCATTTTTTTTTTTTAAAAGGGGAGAGTCTCAGATAGTTTGAGGCTAGCACAGTACCTACAGTGATCTTCAATGATTCAAGAAAATTAGCTGTAATTGAACAGAGAGCATACTGATACAGCTTCGTACAGCTTGGAGTTGCTCCTAATTCAGTGCCTTCATTGCCTATTTGATGAATCACGATTTTCTCTGAGATCTGGTTCAAGTAGCTTGTTGGTGGTAAACATGTTCATTATCCATCCACTTAGTGAAGAGATGGTTATTGATATCTTTCAGCTAAACCTAATATGTATATTTGCTATAACACAATTACATCTTATTTATTTGTTTTATCTCTGATACTGGCCTGAGTTCCTTGAGGATAACAATTGTATCTTATCTAATTTTATATTAATTTTGTAAAATTAATATATCCAGCTCACAGTGAGCCTTAAAGTATTCATAATACAGTGTATGATTAAATAATAAATGTCTATTACCTTGAAATATTGGATGAAATCTTGGCCTAATTTCATCTTAGTAATAAAAGCTGCTTATAAAAATTATAATTGAGGTCCTGGCCAGCTACTAACTTGGCTAATAGTTTATTTAAGTTCTTGCTTTTTAATTCTTGGCAGAACACATCTGTCGATTCCCTATAAGCCAGGCAACTTCTGGGTCTTTGGAGTGAAAATGCTTCTGAAATAAGGTCATTAATGAGAGAAGTAAGTGGTTTATGGGCATTTCAATGATGATGCTTGAGAATTTGGAAAGCTGATACTTGAAATTTACAGAGTAGCTCTGAAATACTCTCAGCCACATAAAAATAGACCTTTGTGAGGTGATGGTTGTGCTCATTAGCACAAGGATGTCACGATGTTCATGTGTACTAGCATCAGGTTGTGTGCTGTATGTATTCATGATCATTTTTTGGTGCTAGGGATTAAACCCAGGGCCTTGTGCATGCTGGAAAAGTGCTCTGCCGCTGAGCTACATCCCCAACCTGTGTGCACAATTTTGATGTGTCAGTTATAGCTTGGTGAAGTCATGAGGACAGGAAGACAAGCAAAGAACAGGAGAAAGTCATCAATGTGAAAAAAGGCATTTCTTTTCTGGAGATATACATATTTTATGTGGAAAGCTAATTTATCTTAATTAAAGGTAATTTTTGTAAGCAGTTAGTGTCATTTTATGATCACATCTCATGTTCACAAAGGTGGGCATGTCTTTACATTTTTCACAAAATGCTCATTGTGAGCCTCCTCTGTGGGAGAACCCAAGTAAGGCATGTCTGCAATTTAAGAATATTTTGGTTTCTAGTAGAACCTTTGATTTCCATGTACTTTAGAAATAAGGTGATTTTGTCCTTTTCATTTTTATAGAGTAAATAATTGTTTTGTGCATATTAATATTTTTAAGTGCAGTTTTTGCCTTCTAGCCATTTTGTATTCTAAGCAAATTAAAATATTCTCCTCCAAGATTGCCAAGTGTCCTTGTAAAGATTATAGGTCTGTGGAAGGAGGTTTGAGCAGAGGTCTTTCTTTTTCTTTTAAGTTGTAGATGAACACAATAACTTTGTTTTATTTATATGTGGTGCTGAGGATGGAACCCAGTGCCTCACACATGCCAGACAAGTGCTCTACCACTCAGCCCCAGCCCCAGCCCCAGGAAGGTCTTCAATGAGAACACTATCTTACAGAGAAAATGTGATGAGATGATGTTGTTGGTTAAACTTAAACCCAAGATGCTTCAGGAAATACTTTGCTGTCAAAGGTATACTTACTTCATTAAAAGGAGTCATTAGATGAATATTTTACTACTGTTGACGCATAAGAGTAAAGAAACTTAAAATCTTATTTTATAATATCAGTTTTTTTTAATCTTGGCAATTCATACATTTGAATCAATTGGGGTGTAATTTCTCATTTTTTTGATTGTACAGATTGCAGAATCACATTACAATATCAATTTTATTTTTAAATATTTTTTAGTTGCCAATGGATTGTTCTGCTTTTCTGCAGGTAGCGGGATATGAGGGAAGACTGTGCAGCAGATTGAACAGTGCTTTAGAACTCATTTGTATCAGTAGCTCTAATGAATAGTTATAGTGTGAATTCCAGCAGCATAACATCCATTTAGAAAGGCTGCCGTCCACTAGTTACAGGGTAGGACAGTTCATTGCATACTAGAGGCAGTGCTCAGTGGGCAGGTGGATTTGTAGTATCTTTTCATAAATTTTATTTATGGGACATAGCATGCCACTGGCAGGTGGTGGATTCATTTCAAACTGTAGATGTGCTCTTGTCCAGCATGTTGTACTACGGTGACTTTAGCTAGCAAGTCAAGTGTTTTTCAACATCTATCTCTGGGCCTTCACCGCTATCCTGTGCTCTGAGGATGTGGTGGTGGGGACAGAGCTCTTGCCTTCCTGAATGAACCAGTTAACACACTGATAAGTAGACAATAGAATGTTAGCTGGTGAAGCATAAATGTTGGGAAATAAGGAACCAGGGAAGCATGGTCAGGGTCTGGAGAGGAAGTGAGAAGGGGCAGCTGCCATTCTGAGTGATGAAGTGTGGACCACGAGGTGGTCGGTGGGAATGGTGTTACAGAGAGGCAGCAGTGTGAATCAGGAGCAGCAGGAAAGCAGGCCAGGGGAGGTGTGATTTCACTATTTGAATATCTTGGATTCTGCGCATTATTTTTCCTGCAGGTGATCTTAATATGTCTACAGACTCCTGGTGTTTGACTGTTTTAGTTAATGTTTTTTTATATATGTGTATGTTTGTGTAGTATAATAAAATGAGCTTTGTATTCTAGAAAAGGTAAAACATTTTCTTTCAATTAAAATTATACCTTTTTCTCCATTATAAGTATACCAATGCCTCAGATGGGGTCTTTTAAAAAGTAATAAAAATAATTTTGTTACTTGCTACAGATTTTAGTAAGGAAAACATCTTGAACTGAAACAGCAGTTCATGGTGAAGAGTTTATTAAAAAAGCTTAAAAAACACTTTGTATTTGATAATATTAAATTAGATTTTTTGTAAATAAAGGCAATTAGAATAAAAATCTTTCCTAATATTTGTCAAAAGCAATTTGAGCAGAAGAAATGAAAATTTATTAGTTTAAAAGCAATTATATTTCACCAGTATAAACAGAAATTCCCTTCAGTAGTGCCTTGAGCAATAATTGCTCATACAGGGTCAGGAAAAACAGTAAGTATAGGAGTCAGAGTGGTCACATTCAAGCAAAGGATGTTTGGGGCGAGATGTTTTAGAGATTGTGCAATGCCTTGTTCTATAATCAGGAAGGAAAAGAGGAGTGAAAGTGGGGAAGGAGACTCTCGTGGTTACATAGTGTTGTCTCTTCACAGTGTCAGGATGAATCATCAGACTGGATACCACAGCTGTTTTCAGCCTCCCCTTGTTCTTGGGAACTCTTACTTTCTAGTTTTTTCCTTGGTTCTCCTCTTCCTAGATTGATTGGTTGATTTCTTTCTTTTTTTTTTTTTTTTTAAATATTTTTTTTAGTTGTAGATGGGACACAAAATCTTTTTTATTTATTTATTTTTGTGTGGTGCTGAGGATTGAACCCAGGGCCTCATACATGCAAGGTGAGTGCTCAGCCACTGAGCTGCAGCCCCAGCCTCTGGTTGATTTCTTTCTTTCTTTCCTCCTTTTTTTTTGGTGTGGTGCTGGGCGTTGAACACAGGGTCTTGCACATGCTAGGCAGACACTCCACTAGTGGGTTGTGTCCCAGCCCCCTCTTTCTAGATTTCTTTTCTTTTTTTTTTTTTTTTAAATTTTGTTTTTAATTGTAGGTGGACACAATATATTTGTTTTACTTATTCATCTTTATGTGGGGCTGAGGATAGAACCCAGTCCTCGCACATGCTATCCAAGTGCTCTGCTACTGACCCCAGCCCCAGCCCCTCTTTCTAGGTTTCTCACATCCTGTGTTGTCTGACTCAGTTCTTAGCTGGTCTTCGCTTGGTCTTATTAAAGTTGTGATGTTTCTGACTGCATTTTCAGACTGACTTTCCCATGACTTTCTCTGGTTTGCTGAATACTTTATGGTTTATCCCTGTAGTTAAAATAAAACCAATTCATATAATGATTGTGAATTTTTAATCTTTTTTTCCTCTTTATTTCTTGAAAATAGTATTTTTTCAAGTACATTTGGTTTGAATGCAGTATAGTAACAAGGTGAAATAATGTGCATTTTAAGTTCACATGGTTTATTTATTTTTTTTAATTTTTAAAAATATTTTATTTTTTAGTTGTAGTGGACACAATACCTTTATTTTATTTTTATGTGGTGCTGAGGCTCAAACCCAGGGCCTCACACATGCTAGGCCAGCGCTGTGGCGCTGAGCCACAAGCCCAGCCCCCAGGTTCACATGATTTATAATAAATTGACTGGAGTATTACTAGATACTTACGTGTGATAGTCATATTTTTAGCTTTTAAGGAACCGAGGTGTAGTTCACAAAGCTCCTTTCATCTTAATTTAGTTCACCAGTGCTGCTTTAATGCAGTTCATGGGCTCTGTTAGCCTCAGGGATTCATGAATGGTGTGTTTCTGTGCCTTGTTGTCATGTTCAGAAAGGTATTTGGAGGACAGTGTCCTGCCTCCTGTGTTTGAGACTAGGTGACTGCGTGTTCTGCTCATGTTCCTCGTCAAGTGAAGGCAGATGGCTGCGATCACGCCTGCATTCGCCTCGCGTTCTGCTGTGTGAGTCGCTAGGCTTGAGAGAGCGCGCACCTGCTTATGGTCATCTGTGTTCTCAGCGTTTCAGCAGGAACTGGATGCGCGGCATGACAAGTACGAGAGGCTGGTGAAACTCAGCCGGGACATAACCGTTGAAAGTAAAAGGACCATTTTTCTCCTCCATAGGATTACAAGGTGCGTAAGCCTATTTAAAATTTGTTACAGTTGGATACAGTTACATATATTTTTTATACTTCAATGAACAGTCACTGGCTGTCAGATGTGGTGTCTTTGTGAATATATTGGGATCAGAGAGTATTAGCAGCAAGTACATTTTAAAACTAATGTTTTGTTAAAAATAGGTGGGGAAAATTCTTAATTTTGGAGCAACCAGGGATTTTCTGTTTTATGAAGATCATTCAGATATAGCTATTTGAGAAAATAAATTTTGGATTACTTATTAGAGCCTATTACATTCAAATTTTACTTTGGTAATAGGTGTGGAAATTTAATATTAAATAAATGTTAAGGTAGGGTCATCCTCATTTGTTTCCAACTCATTGCACTCTTTCAGTTGTTAAAGTTGTTCTGTTACCTTCATACTGTTAACTGTAGTGCACGTACTACCGTTTTATTTTACCTGTTTGTAGCACATGGTATTATCAACTACTTGTCTTTGAAAGTTCTTCTTTGTTTGACTTTTCTGTTATTGTCTTCCTTTAGGACTTTATGTTGTTCTTTTTTGGTACCAAAGATTGAACTCGGGGTGCTTAATCACTGAGCCACATCCTCAGCCCTTTTTTGAGACAGGATCTTGCTAAGTTGCTGAGGCTGGCCTTGGACTTATGAACCTTCTGCCTCAGCCTCCCGAGCTATTAAAGGTGTGGGCTACTGTGCCCAGCTTACTATGTTCTCGTTCTAAGCAGACTGTCTGTATTTGATGTCTTGCCTGAAAGTAAAGAAACCACCTAGAGTAGCGTAAACAGAGCAGGGAAGTGCGCGGCAGTGATTACGCAGATGCCGCTGTGTGTCTCGCAGTTTTCACTGTTGCTTTTTCCTTTGCTTCATACTTTATGTGGCCAGCTTCCTTTGCTTCTCTGTTCCATGTGGGGTAAAAGGTGCCTGCCCTGGAGCTCCCAGCTCATATATCTGGGTCCTGTTCCAAAAGAGATTCTAGTTGCAAATTCTAGATGCCACTCCAGAGGGGTAGCTGTGATTGATGTTCCACTATGTATCTTGTCAAGCATTAGGTAAGGCCAACTGTGATAGCCTTCTTTTATCAAAAACATTATTGAGGTATTCCTTCACTAACTTAAAACTTTTTTAAAAAATGTTTCTTGTTAAGTTTTAGGTGGACACAATATCCTTATTTTACATTTATTTGGTGCTGAGGATCGAACCCAGTGCCTCGCGCATGCTAGGCGAGTGCTCTACCACTGAGCCACAACCCCAGCCCCTTAAAACTTTTTTTTGCGTGATACTGGAAATCAAACCTAGTGCCTTGCAGTGCTCCATCCCTGAGCCATATCCCCAGCCCTAACTTAAAACTGGGTGTTGAGTCAGGGGTTGCTCTATTATTGAACTACATCCCCAGCCACTTTTATTTTCTTTAGACAGAGGGTCCCTAAGCTGCTGAGGTTGGCTTTGAGCTTGCAGTTCTTCTTCTGAGCCTCCTGAGTAGCTGGGATTACAGGCATGCACCACCATTTAGAACTTTTAAGATAAGTCTCTAATACTCTAATTTTTATTCCATTAAATGGAAACATATATGCTGTACATATTCATTGAATGTGGCAGTTAATTTTTTTCTTAGTTGTCTAAAATCAATTTTTGTGCTAATAGTATATTACAACATTTTCCATTAAATTAATAAAATATAATTGTAGATAAGGGTTAAAAGTATCCAAATACATAGATATTTAGTCCAGTTAACTCATATTTGGATGATTTTGGTTTTTCATTATTAAAGCTGAATTTCTAAAAGTTCCCAATATCTTAATTATAGTGCTCCTGATATGGAAGAAATACTCACTGAATCAGAAGTTAAATTGGATGGTGTCAGACAAAAAATATTGCAGGTAGCCCAGGAGCTGTCAGGAGAAGACATGCATCAGTTCCACCGAGCCATCACCACGGGTGAGTCTGCCTTCACCTCAGGGGAGCTTTGTTTTAGAAAAAATGCTACATGATTTATGTCTGAGTTGCGTGAATTTTAGTTGATATCTGATAAAATCACATTGGCTGTTTTAAAAAAAAAAACAGGGTCTTTTGGGTAATGTGAAGACCGTCTAGAAACATTCAGTTGGCTTTGTTTTTCTGACTGTGTAACAATAGTTACTGATCTAATATGGTAATTGGAAATATAAAGGTAGTAGAATGAACTTTCTTGGTTTTATTCAGTAGACAGGGAATATCTCATTTCTCACTAAAGGAAAGTCTCATGGTGATTCTCAGTTTGTACTTTGGTAGTTCATGGAGGAGAGTGTGTCCCTTAGCTAGATGAACCCAAACGTCTCCCACTGTGACTCCATCTGGGAGCCTGGGGATAGGGTTGGGTTTTATCTGTTTATTTTAAAGAATCTTGGTGGTCACCGCTGTCCCATGAGTTGAATGAACATTCAGAGTTCTCAGTCCTTTCCTCTGTCCTCTTCTGAACCCAAGTCCATTGCTGGGAGAGGTGATGTGCCACCCAGGTGTACCCTAGGACTTGTAGCAGGGTTGGGACACGTGTTCACTTGTCTGTCTGCTCAGTGTGTGTCTAGTTTCAGCACTTGTTTCTCAGAAATGATGAATTGTCTTTCAGCTTTGGTGTCAGATGGTAGCTGCGTGTGCAGTGGGGTCTTGGAGGTGAGATGCACTGTTGGAGACTAATATGAAAGCCCAGGTCTGTGAGGAGTTGTTGCAGCCATTCCCAGAGGAGTTAAGGACCCAACTCTGTCATTTGTTAGTTCATATCAGGGGCTTATTGCCGGGTTTCTAATCTCCTGACTAAAAGGCTCAGGGGTCATTCCAGTTAAACTGGGCTAACTGGGCTGCACAAAATAACCACACAAGAGACACAAATACCTTTTTCTTTGGGCTGTGACGGCTCCTCTGACCTTAAGGGTCCGTAGAAAGAGAGAGAGCGTGAGAGCATGCGCTGACCCCTTTTATTGAGGAGAAGCTATTCAAATGAGGCAAGGGGTCAGGTTTCAGGGGGCTGAGTCTATCTTCATGATGTCCACTGTCAGCAGGTTGACTGACACCTGGGTAGGCCACACCCAAGGGCACAGTGAGAGAAGGGGACAAACACAAGGCACTTACATGGAAGAGTCTATCCTAAACAGGGCAAGGGGTTATATTACAAAGGAACAGGTCAGCATAGCCTCACCCATGGGGCTGTAGCAAGACACACCCATTCACGAGACAGGACCCTCGCACCCAAGAAGGGTGCCACATTTCTGTGACTGAATGCCTCAGCACTCAGCTAGGGAGTGTGACCCAGTCATGTGCAAGGTTGGCCTCCCACAGCTTATTTGTTTTTAAATAATAGCCATCAGTAATGAGCGTGGTTTAATGCATTCAGTTTGTATTGTCAGAAGGTACCACCTCAGATCTAAGACAGATTTCACTAGGGTGAGAAGGCCAGAGATGTTGGTGGGAAGGTGAAGGGAAAGCTAAGCCCATCTTCTAGCAGAAAATATCTGAGATATCTTCATGACCTGGTGTGGGAAAGAGTTCAGAATGACAGAATACAGTACCTGTTAAAGAACAGTGGATCAATTGAATATCATTAAAGTTAAGGCGTTCTACAGGGACGAGAGGGGGGAGGGAAAGGGAGAGAGAAGGGAAATTGCATGGTAATGGAAGGAGACCCTCATTGTTATACAAAATTACTTATAATAGGAAGTGAGGGGAAAGGGAAAAAAAAACAAGAGAGAGAAATGAACTACAGTAGATGGGGTAGAGAGAGAAGATGGGAGGGGAGGGGAGGGGAGGGAAGGGGGGATAGTAGAGGATAGGAAGGGCAGCAGAATACAACATACACTAGTATGGCAGTATGTAAAAAAGTGGATGTGTAACCGATGTGATTCTGCAATCTGTATACGGGGTAAAAATGGGAGTTCATAATCCGCTTGAATTAAATGTATGAAATATGTCAAGAGCTTTGTAATGTTTTGAACAACTAATAATAAAAAAAAAAGGCGTTCTGTTTCTCAAAAGTTGTAAATAAGGAAGTGAAAAAGCAAGCTAAAACATGAGAGAATACATTTAAAATACACTTTTGGATAAAGATTCTTACAAATAATCAAAAAGAAAAATATTGTAAAAATGAAGAAAAAACTTGAACAGAGGCTGTCCTCCCCACCCAAATAAAGACCGTCAAATGGCTGATGTACATATGAAAAAGTGCTGTTGTCCTGATAGACTGCATAACACAGAAGTAGGACCACAGTGAGCTCTCCTTGCTCCCAGTGTGGCCCAGTTATAGAGACTTAAAGGATGAGCTGGCGGCATCTGGACCTTAGCCTGCGCTGTACAACGCAGAAGACCTGAAGAGACCCGGAGCATCTCTTGTCATAATGCCTGAATTGAACAGTGATCACAGTGTCCGTCAGTAGGAAAGTGGATACACGAATGACGTAGTTTTATGAAATCTACTACAAGCAATAAAAATGGCAAATATCTGCAGCAGTGTCACAGGAATCTCATGGTCACTGGGCAAAATAAGCAGGCCCAGAAGAGCACTTGTATTTTTCTTCTTGGGTGGTATGTGAGTGCAGGCAGGTCTGATGTGGGAGACAGAAGGGAGAACAGTGGTTTCCAGGAAATGGAGTGGCCGGCAGGGTTGTTGACTAGGGGCACAAGGGAACCTCCTGAGGTGATGGGAATGTTTTACATTTTGATCTGGGTGGTTAGATAGATAAACACACGTGAAGATTCATTTATTGACTGGTGTAGTGCTGTAGGTAAACTGCACCTCATTTTTTCTTAAAACCAAGAAAAGCTAGTGTTGACACGTGAGTTCTTTGCTCCTTTACCAAGGGTGCTCTTTGCATTGGGGACCACATGGGCAGTGCTTCCCTTTCTGGCAGTGCTGTGGTACAGGTGTAGTGTGCTCAGTGGAAGAGCCATTCATTCTTAGGGGTGGTGCTCTCTGTCAAAACCTCTGGTGGCTTCCCTTGGCTCTCATTCCTGGCTGGTGGTGGGTCGGTATTGGTGGCCATCTCTACCTCACACTCTTGTCCTCCACCTTTGCTCCTCCTAGTGGAGGTGCCTTGGGGAGAAGGTAAATTGGAACTCTGTCCAAAGTGCCCTGCAGGCCGCAGTTGCGTGTGTATCTTGTCAGAGATGAGGCAGGAGAAGCGTGTTTGTATCTGAGTGCCACGCTCTCAAGGGAGACCTGGTGAGTTACGGCCACCTCACCTCCCATAGCTGGAGTGCCAGCTGGAGCAGTGGAAAGGTAGCCAGTCTCAGTAGAAGCTGTGTTGGTTGTGCACTTGAAATCCTGAGGGACACTGGCTGTTGGGGTTGGTGCTGGGGAGCCAGGTTTCCAGAAAGACTTTGATTGAAGCAGCAGCACAGCCTGTCTCACTGCATCACAGTGAGCAGAGTCTCAGTTGCAGGTCTCTGGAGCTTCCTGTTGGCTTGAGTGACTGAAGGCGAGTTTGAAGAGCTCTGTACTCCTGTCATTGTTTCCTTCACATCATGCAGGAAACCTGTCATACAAAAACTTAATGGCAACATATAAAAGCTGACCACAGTTGTCCCTACTTGTCACGTTGATCTGTCCTTAAAACTTGTATCTTTGCCTGGTGCAGTGGCGCATGCCTGTGATCCCAGCCACTCAGGAGGCTGAGGCAGGAGAATCACAAGTTCAGAGCCAGCCTCAGAACTTAGGGAGGCCCTTAGCAACTTGCTGAGACCATGTCTCAAAATAAAATCTAAAAAGGGCTGGGGATGTGGCTCAGTGGTTTAGTGCCCCGACTTTAATCCCCAGTAACATACATACACACGTATATACTCTTGTGTATCTTTATAAAAACTTGTGTGTTTTCCTCACAGTTTTGGTGTTGCAAAGGTGAAAAGTGATGTAGTTTTTCTTGAGTGGATCAAGCTTCCCGGTTTCTTACCAGGTTATGGCTATGCTCTGTTCTGCACTATTCCCCAGGCACTGAGTGGGACATCTGAGATTTGGCCCATTGGCTCTACTTGGCATGTCCTTCACTTAACTCACAGGTGAGGGGTGGGGAAAGAGTGCCAGCAGCCAGGGCCACGTGCATAACCACTCCAAAGACACCTTGCAGCTCTGCGGTGTGGCTTGCCTTGGTTGCCAGTGATGTTCCTCAGGTTGGGAGGGAGTGGGATGGGCACAGCTGTTCTAGACTTCTGTTCACTGTGTCACTGAGGACGCTCGTGCATACCTTGTCTGTTTCAGGCCCTTATTGGAGTTTTCTTTGAGAAGAACCTACTCTTGGATTTTAAAAAGTAGGGATTTGATTCCTTATAGCCCACTTTGCTGCAGAAAGTCCTTAAAATTATTTCAGTTGAAGCAATAAAGATTTTTAAAGTTAAGGAATAAAACAGTCAAAGAGTATCCAGGACTTAAAAATTTTCTGACATTTATTTAATAAAATTGACTATTTACAATTAGAGTGTGTTAACAATAAGGTGCTTACGAATTGCCTGCTGCTTGTCATTGTTACGTGTTTGTTTTGGTGTTACTCCAAGTAGTTGTTCTTTTGACTTGGAGATAAAACAGTTCTGGCATTGAACTAAAGGAGTTCTGGGCCTATTAAGTATAGTGGCACACAGACCATTTCCTAAGGGGTACAGACATGAGTATCCTTGTGTTGAACAACAGCAAAACCGTAGGTCTGTTTCCTACACATTGCTTTCTTTCCTTTTAGTTGGTTGGCAGTACTGGGTATTGAACCCAGGGCGCTCTGCCACCAAACTCTGTCCCTAGCCTTTTTAAAATTGGTACTGGACCCAGGGGTGCTTTACTATTGAGCTGTACCCCAACACCACCATAATTTTTCGTTTTTTTGATTCAGGGCCAGGCTGGCCTGAGACTTGTAGTCCTCCTGTACTCCCTGCCTCCCAAGCAGCTGGGAGTGCAAGCGTGTGCCACCGCACTGAGCTTGTTGGAGGTA